CTCACAACTGAATCAAATGACCAAATCTGTCAAGATGTTGACCAATGGAACAGACAAATTGGAAGAGATCCTTCAGGCTGGACAAAATATGGGAAATAAATCTGGCCTAGGATTTGTGGAAACAAAGAAATTTGGTACTGGGAAGCAAATGTCAAAACGGATGTCTCAACATTACTCTCAACATCAGGGATAGAGACATATGAAGAAGAGGTACCAAAGATGGAGATGTCATCATTGTGGGAAATATGGTCACATAAAGCCCTTCTGCTTCAGATTACATGGATATCCTAATCAGAACTCAGATGTCAAACCTAAGTCTAAAAAGGTACCGCATGCTCCACAATGGAAGAAAAAGGCTACTGCACTGATAGCTCACACTTCCCTGAGGGTCACTGCAAAGGAAGATTGGTACTTTGACAGTGGATGTTCCAGACACATGACTGGATTCAAAAATCTCCTCAATAATGTTATGCCTCACACCACCAGTTTTGTGACCTTTGGAGATGGTGCTAAAGGAGAAGTCAAAGGAGTTGGTAATTTGGACTGCCCTGGAGTTCCAAGTCTGAATAAGGTACTGCTGGTAAAAGAGTTGACTACTAATCTCATTAGCATCAGTCAACTATGTGATCTAGGATTCATGGTCAACTTCTCAAGATCTGAATGTCTAGTATTTAATGAAAAACTAGATGTTGTAATGAGAGGAATCAAATCCAAAGATAACTGTTATGTGTGGCAGCCTGAGAACACTGATATCTCCACTATGAGTCAAATCATCAAAGAAGAAAAAGAGATGAAACAGTGGCAGCATAAGCTTGGAAGAATGAAAAGAGCTATTCCTATGGAAGCTGTCAGAAGAACTCCAAAACTACAGGCTGATAATATATGTGATGTGGCAATAAACTTGAAGAAGAATGTGTTGTCAGAACCTTAAGTCATCTTGACAAGGATGTCGGAAAGAACAAGTCTCATAAATTCTATTCAAAACAGATGCTCCCTGAGTACAATGTTACACAAGATGTTGTGACATTGTGGTGTGATAATCTGAAAACATTCAACATTTCCTTGAACCCTACTGACTTTGAGAGTGTGTTTGTTAGAGGAAGAAGGGTCAAGTTCTCTCCATCAGAAATCAACAAGTTTCTTGGAAGAACAAATAAGGACTGTCCTGATCTAGAGGCAACTGACAATGAAGTGTGTTTAACCATCACTGCCAGGCAAGTAAAGTGCTGGCCATTGAAAGGGAAGCTGAATGCTAGTAAACTCAGCATGAAATTTGCCATCTTGCATAAAATAGGTGCAGCAAACTGGGTGCCTACAAATCACAAATCAACCATCTCCACAGGATTGGGGAGATTTATCTATGCTGTAGGAACCAAGACTGCCTTTGACTATGGAAGGTACATCTTTGAACAAACTTTGAAGCATGCTGGCAGTTATGCTGTCAAAGGACCAATTGCCTTTCCCTCCCTCCTTTGTGGAATCATCCTTGCACAATACCCTGATATCCTTGTAGCAAGAGATACAGTCTACAAAAGAGCTCCTGCCCTTGGCCGGCACTACAAACTGTTTCAGGGATCTCATGCTCCAGACATTGTCATAACATCAGCTGAGACATCGTCTGCAAAGACCCAGTCCAAGACATCAGATGTCATAGCTGTTTTAAAAGAAACTTGCAAAGATCTGGATGCTAGAAAAAGGACCCTAGAAGCTCTAATTGCCAGGCTAGAAAAGGAGGAAGCTGAAGAAAGCAGAAGGGAAGAAGGTATAGAACCTGAAGGACAGCTCAACATTGAAGAAACTGGCTCCTCTGAGTTTGATGACAGTGCTTGAAGGTTGATTGCTGCTTGGTGGTGTTGCTGGTGGTGTTTGGAAGTGTGTGCTGCTGATCTCATTATTTTTTGGATAACTGTATAATTTTATGAACATGTATCTTTGGCCCATTTGTGGCTAAAGAGGGGGAGAATATTTTGGTACTTGCTTAATTAGTACTTGACATTATATTTTTCTGCTGTCACTTATTTCTGCTGCTATCTATCTATCTCTGATTGTTTAGGGACTTTAGCCAAAAATCTGCCAAAGGGGGAGTTTGTAGGTGTTTAGGTATTGGCTTGCATTTTTGGTAAATCCCAAGTGTATGTGTGAATGTCATGACTGATGTCATAACATTCTAGTTCAGGCTGTACTAACTCATTAGGTACATGTGCAGAAAAATATTGTAATTCAAATACTGATGTTTATAAGTGTGTATCTGAGCATGTTTGCAAAATGATCACATTTTGCTAAATCAGTAGACAGGTTTTCTCAGATGTCATAACAGATGTTATGACATCCTGTTCTGAACTAACAGGATTGCAGGATTGGATAAGTCTGAGTTTTTTCAGGAAATAACTCAGTCCTTTCTGAACAGAATCCTGCGTTTTCTGAGGAGTAACCTAGCTCAATCCTAACCTGGTCAATAAAGTCCTGTGACCAGGTCTTTAGGTCAAACGGAATCAACCCTAGGTTTTTGGAAACCCTAACTGAAGTTGCAGCTGCTATATATTCAACAGAGCTGCTGTTTTCCAAGATATCCCTGCTGATTGATTAGAAGATCAATTTTGTAATCTGTATAGATTTGTTTATTGTACTCCAAGCAATTATCATTGTGATAAGTGCCTTGGAATAGGTTTCGATTGTAAGGGTTGTGTAGCACTCAAAGCTTTGAAGCAAGAGTGTTTGAATGTCCCTTGACTAAAGCTGTGAAGCAGAGTCAAGTTAGTTGTGTACATCACTCAAAGCTGTGAAGCACGAGTGATTGTGTTGCTTGATTAAAAAGCTGTGAAGTTTAATCAAGTGTGTTTTGTTTTGAAGAGTGTCTTCATCAATTCTTAAGTCAAATTGGTTTATGTATCACTGCTGTGATTGAGGGGGAGTGAGTAGGAACTCAGGTTTAAGTAGTACTTAGATTAGAATTGCATTGGGTAGATCTTAAGTGAAGGAGATAAACTGGTTGGTTTATTCCTGAATTAACATCTCTTATAGTGGATTCTCTCCCTGGCTTGGTAGCCCCCAGAGTAGGTGTTGTTGCACACTGAACTGGGTAAACAATTGACTGTGTTCTTTACCGCTTTTGTATTTACTGTCATATAGTAAGTCAGATACGGTGTCATAACATTGGGCGTGACATTGAGTATCTGCAGCCAGAATTTTCAATTTAGATCGGTTGGAAGTATCCAAAATGCCCCCACAACTTAACATATGGACAAAATAGGAAAAATTCAGGAAATCAGTGTAACATGTCATCACGGCCCGAGTCAGGCAACACGGTCACTCGTGTTGGCCTTAAAACTTCCAATTTTTCTTTTAAAGTCCCAGGAGGTGCAACACAGCCCGTGTTAGCCCTCTGTCTTTCCACTTCTCCAAGGCGCTCCCTCTGACACAACCAGTGTCAGGTGACACGGACACTCGTGTCAGGCCTCATATAACACTATTTTTGTTCTTCCTCTGAAACTCCAAGGTTTGCATTTTTTCGCACTAACTTATCATGTTTTATTCCTCTGAGCCTACAAACAGTAAAACACACAACCAACACATAAAATATGGAAACATGAAATAAAATGCTTGACAATAGCAAGAAACTATAACTAAAATCAATGGTAAATAACTGTGTAAAAACCACTGATCAGGCACAAAGGAGGCCAAGAAGATCATATTTGGTGATTGAAATGGGGATCCCTCACCCTTGAGGTTCTTTTGGAGAATCTTTTTCTAACCTATCTATTCTTGGCCTGTAAATAATATGAATTTTTATAAATTAATGCAAGAGATGAAAAGGACTCCACGGGTAATTCCTCCCCTAGTGGATACTACCAGTGCTCTAGCTACTGGGGGGTTTAGACCACAATGCCCTCTGCAAGGCTGGTTACTCTCCGCTTACCTACCCCGACGCGTGTGGAGGTATGTGATTCTCTTGACTAGGTCGTAGTGGAAGATGCTATGTGTCAATCCCCACATGTGGCTTGAGAAAGTCATGTTGCTAGCCCTGAGCCTGAGATGTTCCATGATGAGGAGCCACTTGCTACGTGGCTTCAATTGCTTAAGAAAAACTTAGAAGGACCTGAATTTTTGAGAGGCACTCTATTGAATTCGATGGCCTTGCCCCCTTTTGTCCTTGCTCCCCTAATTCGAGAATACCGGGGAGTTTTGAGCATATTTTTCTGAAGAAGTTAGCAGTCTCCAAGCAAGGTTGAAGTTGCTCGCGAAAAGGAGTTAGAAGACTTGACATATCATACTCATTGAGTGTCGACCGTCTTGGCTTTTGGCGCTACTAGGAGGGGATAAGTCTTCTTTCCCAACCATCTCCGAAGAGAAAACAATGTACTTCTAAAGAGCGTTAACTCACTTACAATTGAGCGAAATCAATACCTATAAGAGCTCCAAGGGGTGTCTAGTCTGCTTTCGGGCATATAGGCCACTATAGAACCTATAGAGTACCCTAATACACTGGCCGAGAAGGTGCAACCACTTGTACAAATTACTTCTTAATTGACTACTACTAACAAACTTCTTAATAAAAAAACTCGATAATAAAACAATCAAAATAGCAAAGTATGTAATTGAATACTTAAAATACTAATTTCTTCGTAATTGGCTACTACATAACGCAAAAAATCATTTAAAACCCTTGATTTTTAATATAATTGAAATATATTGGACTTGTATAAAAAACTTTGCTACCTGTCCATTAACCCTTCAAGTCCTTTTTCACTATTTGATTAATTGTTTTTGGAACTCTAATAAAAGAACAAACAAAAAAATTCCATTTCTTTTGAGATGTAGCAATTTCTATCTATTCAGTTTCCACGTTACATACATTTTTCTCAATGTTTATCATATTCAACAACAATATTCATAAACAAATATCTAACATAACCAGACACAGAAGCACAAGGTCCAACATCATCTGTGTTACCAGCTAGGTGACATTTGAATATAATTATTCCTCCACTAATACTCTTTGATTAGTATTTGTATTTAACCTTTTTACCATTTCCAAGAACATCAGTCTCATGTTGCCATCTAATATCATTCAGACTTCCAACAACATTTTTTCTTGTGCCTTTGGATCTAGGAGTAAGAGCAGCAACAAGAGCAGTTGTTTTGCTTGAAGACATTTTGAGACAGAGAGCAAGCAACAAAGAGAACAAACTATAACAAAACAAAAAAGAAGGGAATAAATACACAACTTCAATCAAAACATAAGAATGAAAACAAAAGCCATTAGAAACAAAACAAAGTTTAGTGAGTGAATAATCACATATAGCAAGTGAAAATTAATGAACAATCACAATAAATGGTGAACAATAGTGATCTCTGATACGGACGAATGAGATACATAGTCCTTCTCTCGTTTTTTGTCTGGTGTGCTCATACCCGAGTAACTTTAATAAATAAGTCAAGTTGGGAGACAAAAACAGCTTGGGTTGAAGGCGATGCAACATTGGGAGAAACTTACGGTTGGACATGACCCAGCTGAGAACCCATATTCATCACTTGCCTGAGAGATAGCATAGTAAGTTTCTCCCAATGTTGCACCACCTTCAACCCAAGCTGTTTTTGTCTCCATATCAAGCTGTTTTTGTCTGGTGTACCGACAACCGTCTTGTTGAATCAGACAATGATTTATGCGTTGAAGTGCGGAATCATCTACTTCTGGCCAAGCGAATGGCTATCTATTATGTACACCTTTTAACTCAAAGTTTGTGCTTGAGCCTTTTGCTATGAGCCTTGCCAAAGGTACAGAAGAGATCATGCTCTTATTTTTTTTACAATATTGTAAAACACTTTCTAAATATTATACTGAAGTAAAAAACTATGTTTGATAAATTTGAATGTCTTAAAAGTGGAGGATAATGGTGGACGACATTGTGTCAAAATGGTGAAGGGTGATGGCAACGGAGGGTGTCACATCATGCCACCGTGGTGGCTATGACTATAAAGATGGAGGATAAAAAATGATGACAACCATGGAAAGGTCAAGTAGTAGACTAGTAGTGTTGGTGATGACTATGAGGATTCTTAAATGACAATGATGACAACAATGATTGGTGTTTAATTGATGCGATGGTGAGGTTCAAATTTGTCTACCCTTCAATTTTTATAGTAAATGCATGTGTTCTTTACGTTACTGTCTTTATATTTTTGTCTGTTTTCAAAGGAAGATGATTTCCTTGGCAGTGTTCAAATCCACTCTTCCATCCTTCCAAATTCCTATATATTAAACTGTGGCCGGCCACAATCATGCATGGTTGCTAAGTTTCTCTTTCCTTTTTGTCTTAAACATTTGGAGTCACTATCCAATCCTCATGCACTTAAACATTTCATGAACCAATCACAAACCCCCTCGCTCTTCACTCTTCACAACCTTAAGCCATGTTGAACTTCTTCAAAAGATTGTTATGCCTTATATGTTTTCTCTTGCTATCCTTTGATGTTTCTGTGTGTTTATCTTCTTCTTCTTTACTTGATGACTTCACCTTTTGTTTGGAGAATCATCAAATTAAAAACTTCACTGTTTTTCCTTATAATGATTACTACAAAATTCTCAATTTTTCAATTCAAAACCTTCGGTTTGCAGAACCTACAACACCTAAGCCAATAGTAATTGTACTTCCAGAGAGTTTGAAGCAGCTACAGAAAAGTTTAGCATGCTGTAGAAGATTCTCTTTGGGAATAAGAGTGAGAAGTGGAGGACATAGCTATGAAGGTACTTCTTCTGTTGCTGGTGACGGTACTCTTTTTGTCATCATTGACATGATGAATTTAAACCATGTTAAGGTTGATATGGAGACAAAAACAGCTTGGGTTGAAGGCGGTGCAACATTGGGAGAAACTTACTATGCTATCTCTCAGGCAAGTGATGAATATGGGTTCTCAGCTGGGTCATGTCCAACCGTAGGAGTTGGCGGGCATATCAGTGGTGGTGGATTTGGTCTGTTGTCTAGAAAATATGGACTTGCAGCCGATAACGTGGTCGATGCGTTACTTATCGATGCTGAAGGACGGTTATTAGACCGCAAAACTATGGGAGATGATGTGTTTTGGGCTATTAGAGGAGGTGGTGGTGGTGTTTGGGGAGTTGTATATGCATGGAAAATTCAGTTATTGAAAGTGCCACAAATTGTAACTAGTTGTAGTGTACCTAGAACAGGAACAAAGAGAGATATTGCTAAATTGCTAAACAAATGGCAAGATGTGGCACCAAATTTGGAAGATGATTTCTACTTGTCATGCTTGGTTGCTGCTGCTGGTTTGGCTGAACCTAAAAATGTTGGCATATCAACAACATTTAATGGTTTTTTTCTTGGTTCTAAGTCCAATGCTACATCTATATTGAATCAAGATTTTCCTGAATTGAATATTGTAGACGAAGAATGCAGCGAAATGAGTTGGATTGAATCAATTGTTTTATTTTCTGGACTAAATGATGGAGCTTCTGTTTCTGACTTGGGGAATAGGTACTTGGAAGATAAACAATATTTCAAGGCAAAATCAGATTATGTGAGGAGCTATGTTCCACTTTTTGGTATAGAAACTGCATTGGGTTTTCTAGAAAAGGAGCCAAAAGGGTCTGTTGTTTTGGACCCTTATGGTGGGATTATGAATAATATAAGCAGTGATTCCATTGCTTTTCCTCATAGAAAAGGAAACCTTTTTTCAATTCAGTACTTGATTTATTGGAAAGAAGAAGACAATGACAAGAGTAGTGATTATATTGACTGGATAAGAGGATTCTATTCTTCTATGACTCCTTTTGTTTCACATGATCCAAGAGCTGCATATATTAATTACATTGATTTTGATCTTGGAGTAATGGAGGTGATTAGTGTTAATCATGTGGTTAACCCAAGGGTTTGGGGTGAAAAGTATTTCTTGGATAACTATGATAGACTTGTGAAAGCCAAGACATTGATTGATCCTAACAATGTTTTCACCAATCAACAAGGCATTCTTCCTAAGACCTTTGCCAGCTCCAATGCCTAAGTACTTAGTACACAAATGTTCTAGGAAAGTTTATGTGAACTTATTGCTTTGTCATTGTTAATAATCTACATGAATTTAATATGAAGTTGGGTTAAATACATAATACTTAAGCTACTGCATAATTTCTTCTTTCTCAATTGTTTTATATATTGGACTTAAAACCAATTCAATAATTAGTTCATGTTAACATTTTCTTTTTGGTAAGTAGTTCATGTTTGTACTTTGGTTTTTGGCCAAGTCAACTTGCATGTTTAAAGTTATATACTAGTTTGATGCTGACAAAGTTTAAGTTTTTATTTATTGGGAAAAATGCTGATATTGGTCTGGATAAAAAATTCAAAGACCTGCTTAAATTTAATTGATGGATAAAAAATTCAAAGACCTGCTTAAATTTAATTGATGAGAATATTGGGTATCTTATATTCTAAGTTATTTGCAAATTGAGAAAATTAAGAGAGAATTGAGAATAATTAAAGAGAAATATTATTAGAATGGAATTATAATACACATACAATGAGAGAGTTATTTATACAGTTAAGAAAGTACTAATTAACTAATCAAAAATTGAAAATTGTGACCTTTGCTTGTGTGGCAAGTTACACTTGCAAAACTTTCTTATTGTCACTAACAGCCATATACAAAAACTTAATTAAATCCTAATACCCTTCATAATTCAAATTTTCCAAACTCCCCATTCTCATTAATTCTTTTAGGCTTTCAAATCTTCTATGCTTCAAGGGTTTTGTCAAGATATTTTCCAATTACAACTCAGTCTTACATAGTTGAATGCTAAACATCTTTTTACCAACTTGATCTCTAAGAAAACGATACCCCATTTCTATATGATTACTCCTACCATGGATCATAGGATAGTTATCCAAATCAATTGTTGACTAATTGTCCACTAGCAATCATGAAATATGAAGAATATTGAAGGAAAATTAGCTCTAAGAAAAAAAATGAGAATGTTTCACACGGTTTTCGACTGACTGGCCAATTGATGGTCGAATACTAGTAGATATTGGTATAGTCTTATTATTGCGAAATGCAAAAGACTTAAGATATTTCAAGTTTTGAATTCAAATAATTCGACAAGTCACGTTGTGGTTTTTGCCGCTTTGAATCAAAGACGGATTTGGATTTAAATGATTTGATCTTATCCAAAAGAACGCGTGGAAGCCCGACGATTCCAAGGAGCATGCAAGACTCAAACATGGCGCTTTTATAGAGAAAGACCGTTAGGGTCGAATTAGTATAAATATGGATCTTTGTATTAGGATTTAGGGTGTTCACTTTTGTACAAATCACTCATATAAACTCGAAGTACCAATTGTTAGAGAAAAGAGTCATTGAGAATTTACGTATGAATCACCGCACTTTACTTAATTGTCAATTTATATTTACCAAAATACTTTTAATTCCTTTTGTCTTTAATTCGAAGTCTTTTCATCTTCCTGTAGTTACTTTACATAGAATTTCCATTACTTACACATTAACAATAACCTTTGAAAAGACGAATATTAGAAAGATATAAACCTTTGAAACAAAACAAATATCCTAGGATCAATCTAGTCGATCCTATGAGTAACCAAATCTATTTTTGTTTTGGAAGACTAGGTTGTTTACCAATTTTACGGTAAATAAATTGGCACGCCCAGTGGGACAATGTCTTGTTTCATTTCACAAATGTTTTTGTGTTGATTATTTCGTTTCAAATTGTTGTTTAACTTTGTTGCATGAGATTAAGGAGTGAAAAATTAGCCAAAACCAACGAACATATACCTAAGAGAAAATACACTAAGAATATTGTTTACCCACCACCCAATAACAACAACGAACAATCCCCTCCTTAGACAGGAGAAAGTACAACTACATCTTCTGCAACCGAATCAATACCTGTTAAAGAAAACACAACAGGAAATTTGACAAATACTTATAGCGGTCCGGTTTTGTCCCCAATGCATACACAGGGTTCCCCCAGCGAACACAAGACCACTAGGGACAAACAGTTTCAAGCATTTTTCATCTGGATTCACAATGCCAATGGATGACCGCAGGTAAATATATGATATGTCAACATCTGTGATGGCAAACTTAAACAATAGTACATCAACATTTCCTGACCCAAGAATGTCTATATTTTCTCCACTACAAGGATCAGGAAACAATAATTTGGGTCGAAATGTCCCATCCTCAGGATTTGTTCCCTAGATACCTAATCCCACAACGAATTCTACAGCGGTGTTTCGATAATAAATGGATAATAGCAATCATGAAATGGTTGGTGTGTTGGTCCAACAAATGGGTACAATCTTTAACCCTTTAATCTAAAGTGCTACTCAAACCAACCAATAAAGTTCCCAAACAAACCAATAATTGGCAGCGCAGATGGCGCAAATTCCATACTTTTTTGGTGCCCCTAAGCCCCAGTTCACCATCATGTCTCGATTGGGTAAGAGAAAACAAAGGAGTGGTTTTTGAAGAAAACCAAATTGTAGACCAAGCCCAACCAGGCGCGCAGAATATGG